ACCGGCTACGGCGGCGCCGGTAGGAGCGGGCGGGGACAGCGGGGAGGGGTCCCGGTTCTGAACGGGAGGGGTTTGGGTCTGAGGGGGTTCTGGTAGTGGGGAGAGGTCCCGGGAGGATGCGGTGAAAGGGGGTGGGGGATGCTCTGTGCCTGTGGGGAGGGGTCTCGGTGGTACCGGAGGGGGGGGGTTCGGTATTGGGGAGGGGTCTCGGTGGTACCGGAGGGGGGGGGTTCGGTATTGGGGAGGGGTCTCGGTGGTACCGGAGGGAGGGGTTCGGTACTGGGGAGGGGTCCCCGTGCCGTGGGGGGGGGGGCCCCGGGGGATGCTCCGTGGGGGGAGGGGCGGTTTAATTTGGGGAGGGTCCCCCGTGAATTTTTTTTTTTTTTGGGGGGGGGGTCCCCAATCCCGGGGTTCCCCCCTCCCCTCCCCCCCCGCCCCTCGGGCGCTTTTGTTGCAGTCGGGGGGAGGGGGCTGTGACGTCGCGCTGTGACGTCACAGGGCGGGGAACCCCCCCCTTTGCGCCCCGCCCCCTGCGGTGCTGGGGGGGGGGGGGGGGGGGGGAGGGAGGGGTCGCCCCCCCGGAGGGGGTTGGGGAAGCCCTGGGGGACCCCCTCCTCAAAAAAGGGACCCCCAGGTGATTTAGGGACCCCCCAGGTGTTTTAGGGACCCCCCCAGGTGTTTTGGGGACCCTCCAGGTGTTTTAGGACCCCCCCGTGTCTCCCCCAGGTGATTTTTAGGACCCCCCAGGGGTTTTTGGGGACCCCCCAGGTGTATTTTGGGACCCTCCAGATGTTCCCCCAGTCCCTCCCAGTCCCTCCCAGTTCCCCTCCCCCCCCAGGGGTCAAAGTCCCCCCCCCGCCCTCCCCCAAACGCCCTTTGGCTGGGGGGAGGGGCAGAGGGAGGGGCCAGGTGGGGGAGGGGAGCGATTTTCACCCCTGGGGGGGGCTGGGGCAGGTGGGGGACAGGTGAGGGTCCCATGGGTGCCATAGGACAGGTGAGGGTCCCATAGGACAGGTGAGGGTCCCATGGGTGCTATGGGACAGGTGAGGGTCCCATGGGACAGGTGAGGGTCCTGTGGGTGCTGTGGGACAGGTGAGGGTCCCACAGGACAGGTGAGGGCCCCATGGGTGCTGTGGGACAGGTGAGGGTCCCAGGTGTCCCCTGTCACCCCTGGGTGTGGCCCTTCCCCAAGCAGGTGAGGGCGTGGCCCCATGGGGACACCGGTGGCTGCCAGGGCTCCTCCCCCACCCACCTGTGGGTGTGGCCCTGCCCCACCCCCACACCTGGAATGTGCCCCTCCCCCACCCGTGGGGCCGGGATTTTGGGAGGTGCTCAGGGGGGTCCTTCTTGGGGTTTCCATGGCCAATTTTGGGGTCTCCAGGGTCATTTTTGGGGTTTCCATGACCAATTTTGGGGTCTCCAGGGTCATTTTTGGGGTTTCCATGACCAATTTTGGGGTCTCCGTGGTTGGTTTTGGGGTTCCCGTGACTGTTGAGGTTCTACCTGGTCCTTGGGGGTCTCAGTGGTCATTGGTGGGGTCTCCGTGGCCCTTGGGGTTCGTGGTGTGTCCGTGGTTGGTCCATGATGGGTCCATGATGGGTCAACGATGGGTCAGTGGTGGGACCATGGTCTATCCGTGGTGAGTCGGGTCAGTGGTGAATCCATGGTGGGTCCATGGTGGGTCCGTGATGGGTCCATGATTGGTCGGCGATGGGTCCACGATGGGTCCATGATGGGTCAGTGATGGGACCATGGTGGGTCGGGTCTGTGGTTGGTCCATGGTTGGTCCATGATTGGTCGGTGATGGGTCCATGATGGGTCCATGGCTGGTCCATGATGGGTCGGTGTCTGTGGGTCTATGGAGGGTCCATGGTTGGTTCATGGTTGGTCAGTGGTGGCTCCATGGTGGATTCATGGTGGGTCCATGATGGGTCAGTGTCCGTGTGTCCATGGTGTGTCCATGGTTGGTTCATGGTTGGTCAGTGGTGGCTTCATGGTGGGTCCATGGTGGATTCATGGTGGGTCCATGGTGGGTCCATGGTGGGTCAGTGTC